AGCTGCTCCTTCTAAGGTGCTTACAGTGCACCCACCTCACACAGAACCAACCAGGGGCTGGAGACAGGAAAAGTGCCAGCCCTAGCCAGTTTGGCTCAGTGGATAGAGAACGTCAGCCTGCGGACTGAATTGTCCTGGTTTCGATTCTGGTCAAGGGCACGCACCTCCATTGCAGACTTGATCCCTGGCCAGATGGGGCACAAGCTGGGGTGCAGGAAAGAGGCAACCATCGATGTGGCTCTCTCACACCAATGTTTCTCTCTCTGTCTCTTCCCCTCCCTTCTACTCTCTCTAAAAATCAATGGAAAAATATCCTCCTGTGAGAATGAAAGAAAGAAAGAAAGAAAGAAAGAAAGAAAGAAAGAAAGAAAGAAAGAGTACCCTGATGGCCAAATCCATGACAGCCGAGCTCTGGGACCCAATTCTGGAGACCCTGCTGTGAGAGAGAGGGAGTTGACAGGCCTAGGGCACAGGAACTATGAACACCCCCTCCCACGAGCCAGCCACCTGATGTATGGAATCCATTCTCTGAGCAGTGTGAGTTACACCAAAAAATAACCCTGCACTCGGGTTCCCAAAGCCCAGAATCCCATCCACTGCTCACAGACACCAGGGAGCAGGCCACTAAGGCTGATTATCCCATTGATCAGGCTGCAGCTGCAAGCTGGGAAAGGGGTGCCTTTGGGACCAGAAATGGGACCACTCCTCCCACTGCTCTCCAGCTCTCTCCACCCTCATGGCCCGGAGTCCCACCCCAGGCCCAGGACAGAGAAGAGACAAAAGCAATCCTCTGCAGAGGCCCTCATCTAAGCTATGTCTGGTGTCCTAGCGCCAGGGCCACAGGCAGTGGTAACTACAACGTGCTGTGGGGCTGCACCTAGGAAGACTCCACCACAAGAAGCAGAAAGTGAAACCTTCTGTGGTTAAATGTCTGAGGCTGAGCACTTCCTCCAGTCTCACCGCAGTGACCGGCACAGCTAGGCACACACAGAGCCCAGACCGGAAGCACAGTTGTCTGTGCAAATGGAGTTAAGTGCCAGCTCTGGCCCGAGCCTGGTGACACACCTGGTGAGGCCATGCTCCGAAGGCCTGCAACACTAACTGTCCTTTGTGGGGAGTCAGCCCTGTAGGCCCCATGGGACCAGGCTCTGGGTGTCTTCCTGGGACTTGCAAGGAAACAGAGGACAGAGGGGTCCAAGGGCCGTCTTGGCTCCTGAGGCACTTCCAGGGACTGCAGCCGGAAAGCAAACCCTCTTAGCCAAAAACATTTCATTTCAAGCACAGTAAGACTCCTGGGGTGCATGGAGGTCCCTCCACAGCCCCAGGGGAAATCCAGGAACAGACAGGCCATCCATGGGTGCTTCCTGCTCTCCCGATCTGCAGGGGACCTGGCCAGGCCTCTCTGCCAGGAGCCAGTGACCACGCTCCGCTCCGTTGTGCACCTCAAAGCATTGGGAGGCGCGCCCTTCCCGCTGGAGCCACCACACCCCATGCCAGATTCCGAGCCTTTTCACCGCCCTGTGGGGCCCAGAGCTGGCCAACAGGAAGCCTGCGGAACTGACCGCCCTGCTTTATTTAGAAATCCCTGGAGCCACTGGGCTCAGCCCGGGCAGGCTGCTGGGCCTCTGGGCCTCTGAAACGGGCTCCCATTACGTTTCAAATGGGAAACTTGCCTCGAGGGACAGATAAGGGACCCCCTCAGTGGTTTTCTATCAAATGACAGAAGCCAGTGGGCCTGCCTGGGATCCCTGCCCCAGAGCTCCTTCTGGCCTCAGGGTTCTGGTCCACAGGATAGGAGAGTGATGCCTGCTGTCGGGGCCTGCAGCACAGGCATACGCGCCATCCTATTCCCAACAACAGACAGAATACTAACAAGGACACTGCCTGGAACACCATAGATATGACATTGAAGACCTGTATCCATATATTCACATGTATACTGAGTGTTGAGTGCACACATACATGCACGCACACAGCTTTGGACTCTACAAACAAAAATGCCCACTTTTTAAGCACTCACAAAACATTTGACAAAATAATTTACACTAATACACTAGCTCTGCAACATGCATTTTATACTGTGTTACCACGGGGCAGGGGCTCTCAAACAGAGGTAGTCCTGCCCCCCCAAAGTATAATATACCAGGCCATGTCTGGGGACATCTGTGGTTGTCAGACTGGAGGTGCTGGCATAAAGTGGGTGGGGCCAGAGATGCTGCTCAGCTCCCCACGGTGCCCAGGATGGCCCCCTACAGAGACTGACCTGGCCCCAATGTCCCATGCCAAGGGGGAGACCTTCTGTATGAAAAAGAGAAGCCTCTCTGAGATTTAAAAAGGAGCTATGGAGGGAGCACTGGGGTCAGAGCCCAAGAGGTTCCCCCAGTCCAAGGGTCAGAGTCCAGCTCTAGGAGCTCCCCAGGCAGGCATTCTTGCCACCAGGATGGGACATTAAAACCCCACCAGGCAGAGCGGTCCCTTAGATCACATGAATGCAGAACTAAGGAGATAGGGGACCCACCTGGTGAAGCGGGCAAGGGCTTCTCCAGTGACAGTAATTTGCTCCACCTGGTTCCAAGCCCAAGTGCCAAAGCAGACACCACCAGAACCTCACAAAACAAGACCCCACACACAGAGATGCCACAGGGATATGGAAGCTGGCACTCCACTCTGAGCAGCTAAGGGGTGGAAGCCCTCAGCCCAGACTGTAGCTGGAAAGCTCAGTCTGCCCCTGCAAAATGGGGACAGTCCCTAGCCAGTGGCTGGCTTGTGGGGATGGGGGCTAAAATGAGTCCTACAAGCAGTTGGGTACCAGGCAAAGGGTACTCAGTAAGAATGTCCTCCTTGCATCCTCATACCCCACGCCGTGCTCTGGTCATCAAAGTCTTTCCAGCAAGGGGCATTCGATCTAAAAGGACAGGCTGCCTAGTAGTAAGTGTACCCAGGGTTCCCAAAAAGGTCCCAGGCCCAAAGCCTGCAGGATCACTGGGTAAGGAGGGCCTCAGGGTTAGTCCTCACCCCACACATCTCCTGGGCCTCTGCCCTGCACTGTTAATGATCCTCCTCATGTCAGAACCCTTCACCTTGGACCTGAGAGCTCACATCACCCTCAGTGTCTTATCTGACCTCCATGCTTGGGACGTGACTTCAAGAAACAGGTGCCTGATCCCCCACTGTGCTGGCTGGGTGCCCTCAGGAGAGAAGGGCTGGGACTACAGACACAGGTGCCCCTACAACTGCCTCCCCTACGTCTTTCGGTGGACAGTGGCCAATTCCAGACCCGCTGCAGGGCTCCTAGGGAGCCAGGGAGAACGCAGAGGCACACCAAGGCTGCAGGAGCATAGGCTGCTGACTAGTGGCCTTGACCCCGCACATCAATGCGAAGCCTGGACAGACTGGGGACAGGCTACAGGGCACCTGGAGACTCACACAGGCCCCAATCAAGGCCAGCTGATGACGACCCCCCCCCTTTTTTAAATAAACTCTACTGCCCACCGCAAAAGCCACCTCCACAAAGTCCTCCCAAGTGCCACTCGGACACCATTGCAAGTTTCTGTCCAACTTTAAGGTTACTCTCTGCCTGTCTTTTCTCAGAGATAGCCTACTTTATGGTCTTTAGGTAAATCAGAATATACATTTGGAAAAAATAAGCAGAGAAGGTATTTCATAAAAGGGAGGACCCTGCAGGTGGAAGATGCAATGCATTCCAGGCAAGACCAGCTCCTCTCGAAGGGCCACCAATGCCTCTCTTTATCGTCAGGAGCCCCACACCACCTCTAAACCCGCTCCCTTCTCCCGCCCAGGCCCATCAAAACCACCTCTAGGCAGCTTGCAGGCTTCCCCAACTTTCCCTGCCGTCCAGGAATGAAATGGAAGCAGGACTCACAGAGGGCAGGGCCCAGGTTTCTGTTTTGTAAATGACCTTCTTGCCTTTGACGGCAGAGGTAAGTCCTTCAACAGCCCTTATTTGGGGTGACAACACTTTGCTGACAGCTGGGCCAACTCACTCCCTGCAACAGGTGTGCCCTGGGGAGACAGGATCGGGGAACAGGAATCTTCCCGTGAGGAGGAGGAGGAGGACCCAGGAGATCCGGCCCCCACCAAGGCAGAAGTTAGAGATTTGGGGGCGGTGAACGAGTCCCCAGTTCTGAAAACCTGCAAAGGCTCCACCTGTCCCCAGCCTCCAGCCGAAACAGAAACCTCCAGAAGAAAAGCAAGGTTGTCGCCCATGGTGTGTGTACCCCTTTCCCTCAGGGGCCAGGGAGGAGCAGAAATGGCTTAAGGAACGGGGGCAGGTAGTGGACAGGCCCTGAGTGTAGGGACCAGGGCTCCACTTGGTGGGAAGGGTCTGACATGGGATCTTGGGAGGTGAGAGGCGCGTCTGTGGATTACAGTCCAAAGGTCTAGGCCTGAACAGAGACGCTGGGGGCAGCTTGGGGGACCCTCGGTAGGGTAGAAACAGAGGGCCAGCCCGATGCAGGAAGGGGGCTCATCTCTTGAGAAGGGGCAGAGGACAGACCTTCCAGGACAACAAAGTAGGGCTGACCCAGCAGAGATCAGGGACCCCCTGGCTGGCCCTGAGGACCCTGGATACGGATGTGGACAGCAAAGGCAGGAGGTGACTCCTAGAAATTCGGCATGGGCCATAGAGACAGGGGCTGGCTCTCAAGAAACGGGGACCTCCTGAGGACAGCACAGGCAGGGGCGCACCCCGCAGTACAGCCGGGGACAGACCCCGAAAACCAGGGTCCCCCGCCAATGCACAACACAGGCAGGGGCAGAGCCCAGGCCGCGGATGCCGCCGTGGACAACACGGGCCCTGACTCCGAGGCCCAACGCCGCACAGGCAGAAGCTGGCCCCCAGGTCCCAGGCCGCCTGCGTGGACGGCACGGCCGGGCTGACCCCCAGGCCCCCGGCCCGGCGCGGACGGCACGGCGGCGGCGGCCCCGCCCGGCCGCACGCGCACCGCCGCCGCGGACCCCGCAGGCCCGGCCGCACTCACCGAGCAGCAGCAGCTTGAGCTCGCGACGGGCGTCGCGCTTATCCCTCCGCAGCTGCTTCTCGATCTCGGCGTTGATCCTCTTGGACTCCTTCACCTCATCGCTGAGGCAACACGCCATCATGGACTCCAGAGTCATCGTCCCGGCCCCGGCCGCCCGCCGGCCACCCCCGCCGCCGCCCCCCGGCCCGGCACGGCCCTCGCCTGGAGCCGCCCCGGCCGCGCCCGCCTGGCCCTCGGCGCTAGGCCCCCGGGACGGCCGGTCTGCTCGGCTGCCTGCGAACGCCGGTCCCGCTCGGCCACGCACTCCAGCCCTGCCGCCCCGCCGCCCCGAGCCCGCGTCGCCGCCGCTACCGCCGCCGCCGCCAACCGCAGCCGCTGCGACCAAGCGACAGCGCCGCACAACCTAACCCGCGCGGTCCCAGAGCCGACGGGCGTGCGGCTCGGCCAATGGGAGGGGGCGGCGGCCTGCGCGCCCTCTGGAAGGGCGGGCCTAGCGGTCCAGGTGGGCGGGGCGGGGCGGGGCGAAGCGGACGCGCCCGCGGGTTTGGTTGCGCCAACGTGGGAAGGGGGACGCTCAGCTGGGAGCCAGGCGGGGCCGCCCGGGATTGTGGGAATGTGGCGGACTCCGCCGGCACGCTCGGTTGCTCTCGGCTCCGCTCGGCCAGGACGGCCCCGCTCCGCTGGAGAGCGGGAGGCACGGACCCAGCCAATGCGGTCTGGGAGCTGGGGACCCCAACCCCACAGGAAACATTGGGATCCCAACCTTAACGGGAAGCGTCCTGGCATTGCCTAACCAAAAAGAGCCTTCCGCTCATCCATTCTTGGAACAAACATTAATGAAACGCCTCCTGTATACCGGGCCTAGGCATATAACAGTTCCTGCTATATGCCACGTATGCAGCAAGCTTTAATGGAATGCCTACTGTATAGCAGGCATAGACAAAGCCTTAATTCAGTACCTGCTATATACCAGGCACACAGCAAGCATTCATGTAGCTTCTGCCATATACGAGGTATGGGCCAGACATGAGTGCAGCACCTGCTATCTAGGCATGAAGCAAGCTATATACCAGAGGACAAAGACATTATGGAGTGCCTACTGTAAACCAGGCATTAGTGAAGTGCCTGATATTTTCCAGGCAGCAAACAAGCATTAATGAAGTGCCTACTGTATACCGAGCACTGCTCTAAGCCCCTTAAACCAACCCTAATACCCCTTTGCTATTCTTGAGATGCAACCAGACCCCTTTATTTACATAGAGAGCTCTGGGCTGCTTTCACCCTGCACCAGCAGACTTGAGTAGTTGCAACAGTACTAAAATATTTACTCTCTGGCCTCTTGCAGAAAAAGACCTAGAGTGAGGCCCAAACACACTGGAGTTACTCAACCAATAACTTCTGAATAATGGAAAAAAGCAAACTGTGTAAGATGATGAATGTTTTCTGTTTTTCTGTGTTTAGGTGTGATTTGTTCCACAGAAATGGATAACTAATACATGCACCCAAGAGAAATAAAAGCACCTATCTACACAAGACTTGTAACTGTTCATAGCAGCTTTATTGATAACATCCTCAAACTGGGAATATTAAGTGTTCCTGGTACTGGAAACCCACTTCGCAGACAAGGAAACCGAGGTACCATTACCCATAGTTCCCTGGCGATGGCACCTCTCCTAGCCCTGACATGGCTGGAGCCCCCATCGCCACTCCCCACCTGGCCTTGCCCAGATCCCATCACACCTTCCCAGCTGTACCTTGACACAATTATACTCTCCTGTCTTGAGATAAGGGGTAAGAGGAGGGTCAAAGTCTCCATTTATTACTTGATTGGGAGGGTGGAAAGGTTAGCTCCTTGAAACTCTCACCTTAGGGGCTTCCCACCTCAAACAGACAAAAGCTCCACTTGAACAAAGAACCTACCACCAGAGAAACAAGAAAAATGTTGTCTGGAGGAGATGAAACAGGTCTTCCTACACCACCCCCACCCCACTTACCATCCTGTTGGATTCCCACCTCAGCCCTTGCACAAACCTAAATAACCCTTCTTTTTTTATCTCTTTACTCACTTATCCCACCCTCCGTAATATAGTGGATCTATGTCTGTCTTGATCACTGCTCTATCTAGAATCCAGCCAGGTACACAATAGGTGCTCAATAAATATTGAAGGAAAGAATGGGTGAGTTGTTCGTTGTTTGCAAACATGGTTCGCCATCCATATTTACCACCAGACTGTGCCCTCCAGTTGGGCCTCTCCTCTCCTCCAGCAACTGTGTGCCAGGTGCTAGACTGAACAGTGACAAGTGGAATCGGTCACCTATGTGTGTGAGTTCCACGTGTCCAGGGAACTTTGTCCATTTTGTTCTCTGTGGCTCCCCCAGGGCCTGAAACATCACTTGACATACAGTAGGTGCTCAATAAAAGTTTTTGAAATCAATGAAGGAAAACAGCTCTCCTGGATGCTTTTTCTTTTCCTCGGGAATCCTATCTAATAAAGAGGGAATATGTTAATTGACCCTCACACCATTGCAAAGATGGTGGTGTCCACAGCCAATAAAGAGGGAATATGCTAATTGATTGTCATGCCCTCAAAGATGGTGGTGCCAACAGCCTCAAGATGGCAGCATCCAGTCCCCTCAGCCTCGCTGGTTGAATTTAGTGTTACACTTTTAAAAAATATATTTTTTTTATTGATTGATTTTTTTACAGAGAGGAAGGGAGAGAGATAGAGAGCTAGAAATGTCGATGAGAGCGAAACATCGACCAGCTGCCTCTTGCACACCCCCTACCGGGGATGTGCCCGCAACCAACGCACATGCCCCTGACCGGAATCGAACCTGGGACCCTTAAGTCTGCAGACCGAGGCTCTACCACTGAGCCAAACCGGTTTCGGCTAGTGTCACACTTTTAATAAATAGAATATGGCAGATGTGACTTCAGAGATTTGGTTATGAAATGTCTTTGGCTTACATCTTGGGCTCCTACTTGCTTGCTCTTATAGAGTCTTTACAGAAGTCTAGAGTCTAGACTCTAGACCAGTGGTCGGCAAACTCATTAGTCAACAGAACCAAATATCAACAATACAACGATAAAAGTTCTTTTGAAAGCCAAATTTTTTAAACTTAAACTTTTTCTAATGCCACTTCTTCAAAATAGACTCACCCAGGCCGTGGTATTTTGTGGAAGAGCCTCCCTCAAGGGGCCAAAGAGCCGCATGTGGCTCTTGAGCCACAGTTAGCCGACCACAGGCCTAGACTATCCTCCTGGAGAGCCATATGCAGTAGAACTGAGACCTGCCAATGGCCATGCAAGGAGCCACAATAGCTCCTCCTTCAGCCCTGGAGGAGCCTTCAGATGAGGCAGCTCTGGCCAACAGCTTCATTGCAGCCTCATGAGAGACCCCAGTCCAGAACCATCCAGCTGAGTCGCTCCCAGATGAGACACTGTGTCAGATAATGGAAGCTGACTGTCTTAAGGCGCCACGTTTAGGCATGATTTGTTACACGGAAGTGGATAACTCACACGTGAATCCAAGTTGAGTAGTTCACAAGACCTGTAAACAAATGTTCATAGCAGCTTTATCGGTAACATTCCCAAACTGAGAACAACCAAAGTACATGTCCACCAACAGATGAGAGGAATAAACAAATTGTCGTCAACCCAGACACTGCAATATTTAATCCTCACCTGACGATGTTTTTTCCACTGATTTTCAGACAGAGTGGAAGAGGGTGGGGAAGAGAAAGAGAAACGCCAATGTGAGAGAGACACATCATTTGATTGCCTCTCGCACATGCCCCAACCAGGCCTATTGGGCCGGGGATCAAATCCACAACTGAGTCATATGCCTTTGATCAGGGGGAACTGAACTATTCTGGTCGATGTTCTAATCGCTCAGCAAAACTGGCCAGGGCCAAGAGGTGGCCCTTTCATTTTGTGTTTTTTTTTACGTGGTTCGATTTATTTTTATTATTTATTGAAATCATAGTACATTAAATGTATGGTTCCCTAACATACATGTCCATAACTATAAGGAGGTGGTACTTTATTTTTTTTAATATATTTTATTGATTTTTTTTTTACAGAGAGGAAGGGAGAGAGATAGAGAGCTAGAAACGTCGATGAGAGAGAAACATCAACCAGCCGCCTCTTGCACACACACACCCCTCCCCGCCAGGAATGTGCCCGCAACTAATGTACATGCTCTTGACCGGAATCGAACCTGGGACCTTTCAGTCCGCAGACCGACGAGGAGGTGGTACTTTAAAAGACACTGAAATGGGGGCAGGCAGTGTTGGGACGGGAGTTAAGGGCAGGAAAACAAATCAGGTGGGAGAAGAGTTAGGGATTCATTTATTCCTCCAAGTATTTATTTATTTACAGTCATCTCTGCTACCCCTTCCTGACAGCAGCTCTGCCTTGGGCCTTGGGGAAGGCAGGGAGGGGAGCAGCTGGGAGCATGCCAGCATGAGGTGTCTTGTCATTCTCATCCATGCACTAAGTGCCTTCGATGAGCCAGGAGCTGGACAGGCACTGGGAAGGCCCCCAGCGAGTAAGACGGGGAAACCGAGGCCCAAGGCAGGTGGTGAGTTGGCCCCGGGGCCCAGACACTTGCCAAATGCTGACTCTGCCTTCCCCACCCACAGGCGCAGAGACAAAGTCCACCACGGCTGCCACGCCTCGGTGTCTGGGCGGCCTGCCCTCCTGCCTCCCCGGGCCTCGTCCCCGCGTCCCCCGGACATTGGCCTCCCTGCTTTGAGGAGTTTGATTTTATGAGGGGCTCCAGGAGCCATGGGACAGCGCCATTTCCTGGCACAGAGCTGAGAGCAAAGGTGACTAGGACCCACGGCTGGAGGCGGACGGGACAGAGGGGCACCCGGGGTCAAAGTGCCAGCCTTGGAGTCAGGTGGCAGATTCCAAAGAACTCAAGTCCCTACCCTCCTCCATGCCTCAAGGCTGAGCTGGAGAGCTCACCGCCTTCCCCTGCAAAGGAAACCGGCGAGCCCAGCCATGTGGCTCAGTGGTGGAGCATTGACCTATGAACCAGGAGATCACTGTTCGATTCCCCATCAGGGCACATGCCCAGGTTGCAGGCTTGATCTCCAGTGTGGGGCGTGCAGGAGGCAGTCGATCAATGA